ATACAAAAATACCTAGAATAGCCAAAACAATCTTGTTTAAATAAGAAATGAAGCTAGAATACTTAACACTGCCTTATTTTAAAATTTAGTGTAAAGCAATGGTAGTCAAGACAGTGTAGCATCTGCATTAAGATAGATAGATAGATATGGAACTAAGTGGAGTTCAGAATCCAAACCACATGGTCAATTGATTTTCGTCAAAGATACTGAGATAATGCAATAGGAAAAACATGTTCTTTCAACAAATGATTCTTTAAGAACTGGTTATTCATTTACAAACTAAACCTAGATCCTTAAGTCATACATGAAAATTAACTAAAATGGATCATAGACCTAACTGTATGAGCTAAAACTGTAAAACTTCCAGGAAAAAAAAATAGGAGAAAGTATTTATAAACTTTGACTAAGCAAAGTTTTCTTAGATTTGATACAAAAAACGTGATCCATAAAAGAAAAACTGATAAACTGAACTTCATCAAAATGATGAAATCTTTGCTTTTCAAATAGTTCTTAAATAAATGAAAGAAAAGCTACAGACTGTGAGAAAATATTGCCAAATATATATCTGATAAAGAACTTATATTAGGCCAGATGTAGTTGCTCATGCCTGTCATTCCAGCACTTTGGGAGGCCAAAGCAGGAGGATCACTTGAGCCCAGGAGTTTGAGACCAGCTTGGACAACATGGCAAAATCTTGTCTCTGCAAAAAATTCAAAAATTAGCTGGGCATGGTGCCAAGTGCCTGTAGATCTAGCTACTCAGAAGGCTGTGGTGTGATGGTCACCTGAGCCCAGGAAGTCAAGGCTACATACAATGAGCCATGATGCAGTCGCTGCACTGCAGCCTGGGTGACAGAGTGAGATCCTGTCTCGAAACAAATAAACAACAACAAAAATAAGACAATACAACTTATATTTAGGATACATAAAGAAATTTTACAATTCAAGAATTTTTAAAATTTTATTTTAAAAATGGGCAAAAGATTTCAATAGATACTTTATTAAAGAAGATATATGAATGAATGCAAATAAGCCAGGTGAAATGAAAATTAAAACCAAATTTAGATAACTCTATACACACACTAGAATGTCTAAAATAACAAGATTAATCATACCAAGTGTTGATGAGAATGTAAAGAAGCCAGAATCATCACACATTACTGCTAGGAACACAAAACAGTGCAGTCACTTTGGAAAATAAACTGTCAGTATCATTAAAAATTTAGCTGGGTATCGTGTTGCATGCCTGTAGGCCCAGTCACCCAGAGGCTGAGGTGGGAGAACTGCTTGAATCTATGAGTTAAAGTTTAGCCTGGATAACATAGGGAGACCTCATCTCTTAAAAAAAAATAAACATATAATACAGTCCTATCAATTCTGTTTCCAAATAAAGTAAAAATATGTCTATTCAAATGTTGATAGCAGCATTGTGTATAATAATCCCAAACTGGAAACAGTGCAAATGTGCATCAACTGGGAAATGGATAACCAAAGTGTGGGTCATGTTCATAAAATGGATTGCCCTCACATGCATTCAACAGCTTGTCCAGAACTCCAAAACATACTGCTAAGTGAAATTCAGGCGCATAAACTACACATTGTGAAAGTTAAACTATATAACCTTTGTTTGTCTCTTTCTTTCTTTGAGACAGGGTCTGGCTCTGATGCCCAGGCTGGAGTACAGTGGTAAAATCTTGCCCACTGCAACCTCCACTTCTTGGCCTCAGGCAATACTCCCAGGTCAACCTGCCAGTAGCTGAAACTACAGGTGCACCATCATGCCCAACTAATTTTTGTATTTTTAGTAGAGATGGGGCTTCACCATGTTGCCTTGGCTAGTTTCAAACTCCTGGGCTCAAGTGATCTGCATGCCTTGGCCTTCCAAAGTGTTGGGATTACAGGCGTGTGTCACCGAGTCTAGCCAATCTATGTAACTTTTCATGGAAGGCAAAACCATAAAGAAAACAGATCATTTGTTACTTGTGACTTGGAAAGGTAAGAGTGAGGATTTAATGCAAATAAGCATGAGGAATCTTTTTGAGATTATGTAAGTATTCAAACACTGAATTTTTGTAACTGTTATACAATTCTATAAATTTACCAAAACTCATCAAAGTGTGAATTTAAAATAAATAAATTTTATTTTTATTGAAAAAGCTGATAAAATATAAATCGGAACAAAAGTACTGGAAAACAATAAGTTGAAGATGAATTAGAGTGATCAAAATTAATGTATATTTCAAGGGGAAACTAGAGATTTTAATTTTAGACTTTGTAAATTCAAGTACACATATTAAATTTCAAGGGTAATTATGAATAGAATAGAAATAGAACATACAACTTTTAAACAAACAGAGGGGAAAAACCTTGATCAATCTAATAAAATGCATTGGGGAAAAGACAGAGAAATAATACAGTTAACAGAAAGCACAAAATATGATGACAGATATAAATTTATCAGTAACCACAGAAAACTTAAATGGTCTAAATTAATTAAAGATAGACACTTGAAGACTAGATTAAAAACATGAAAATCCAAGTATAATCTGTAATAGTTAAAAACATGAAGACACAAAATTCTGAAGGTATGAGAATGGTAAATGATAATTAAAACAAATATTAACCAATATATGACTGGTATATCTATTTTCTTATCAAAAACAGGTTTTAAGACAAAAAAATTCTGAGGAATAAAAAGTCATTACATAAAGACATGTATGCATGTAACAATTCAACCTTAAAATGTATAAAGTACAAATTGACAGAAATACAAAAATGGCTAAATCCTTAACCATGAAGAAACTTAACTCTGAGACAATGATAATCAAAATGTAGTAAGATTATCTCAGATTGTAACAACTTTATTAACAAAAGCTTAATTTAAAGAAAATATATGAAGTTCTGTACCCTCAAATTAGAGAATATATATACTTTGAAGCCTGCTGAAGTCTTAGGAAAACTGAACCTATACTAGCCTATGAATCAAATCAAAACAAATAAAAAACTTTATAACAACGGCTTATACTTTGTAACCAAACTGCAATTTATGAAAGAAAAAAAGTAAATTTCTTTCATTTTCAAACTAAAGGCACACCTTTAAATAATTTTTGAGTCAAAGAAGACAGACATCAAAACAAATATCAGAAAGTATCTGGAAATGAAATAGCACATAACAAAATTTGTGAGATAAAGCTGAGCCAGTACTGAAAGAGTAATTTGTAGCTTTAAATATTTACATTGAAAAATAGACAGACTGAAAATTAGTTAAGTGTCCATCTTAGGAAATGTGTCCTTTGTAGGAACATGGATGAACCTGGAAACCATCATTCTCAGCAAACTGACACAAGAACAGAAAATCAAACACTGCATGTTCTCACTCATAGGTGGGTTTGAACAATGAGAACACATATAAACAGGGAGGCAAGTATCACACATTGGGTTCTGTTGAGGGGGCAAGGGAGGGACAAAAGGGGGATGGGGAGGTTGGGGAGGGATAACATGGGTAGAAACACCAGATGTAGGTGATGGGGGGATGGAGGCAGCAAACCACATTGTCATGTGTGTACCTATGCAACAATCCTGCATAATCTGCACATGTACCCCAGAACCTAAAGTACAATAATAAAAAGAAATTATGAAAAAAAAAGAAATTATCTGCTTACAGATAGTTGTATATTACTTATTCCATGATGTGACAGAGTGGGATTCCTAACACTGACATCTCCTAAGCATACCCAGAGAGATTCTCTACTTTTCGTATAAAGGAGACAGCAAGTATGTAGGGGGTTGTTTGAGAGAGAGAGAGAGAGAGAGAGAGAGAGAGAGAGAGAGAGAGAGAGAGAGATTGATTTAAAAAAAGAGAGTGCAAGAATAGGCACCCCCAAATAGAAACAAAGAAAATCTCATTTTCCTATAAATGTCTCCCAAACTGAAAATCAAAAATGAAAGAAAACAAAGGGGGAAAGCAGTTATATTATCTAAGCCTAAAGTTTTAGTACTGATGTTCTAGAACTTCTCAACTAGTTCCTGAGCAAATTGTAGTCCACACTCAGTGTATAATGGTTGGTAAAGAATACATGTTCCTCTCTGCTGCACGCCCTGGCCCTACTCTTAACAACTGCTCTGTAGAAATTGCCTTCTAAATAGATCAGGTCATGGGAACATATGTATATTTACAAAGGAGTCCAATCACTTACACTGGCAGATGAGGACTATTCAAGTTCACAGAAAATTTTGATCAATATATTCAATATTTGAATATATTGATGAAAATTTAAAAGCAATCTTTACTAATAAAAAAATGAATAAAATTTGCTTTCAAAAGTTTAAAGTTACCATGCAGCAAATAAGAAAATAAAAATTTAACACTTCAGTTACTCATCCTTTATCATTTTCAATGATTTTTTTGTTTTCTATAGGGAACAAAATTCTGTATGCTTCTGGAAGCCAAAATCTCTCTCTTATAGGTTTAATAAAACAGAATATTTAAACACACACACACACACACACACACACACACACACACACAAGAAAACCTCTTTATAAGTATTTGTTAATGACAATATGCTTTAAAATTTTAGTGGAAAATCAAGTGTCATTCAACTTTTCACAAGGTTGTAGTTGTTTAAAAACTTAGGGCCCAATTTTAATAAGAAACATAATGTTTCCAAGATTATAATGTTCTTTTTAGCTAACTTAAAACTAAATGTCAAAGTAGGTTTTAAATAAAACCCTTTAATTAATGCTCCTTCTAATCCCAAAGAATTAACATTAAAAGGTATGACAAATATTAAAACATACACTTCTTAGACAATATTTTTTTTTCTGTTTTTGTCTGAAAGATTCAAGAAAATATTTCCTTTTTGTTTACATATTGCCTGTAACAGAGTGATCATCTGATCTGCAGCATATCAATTAAGTAGTGTCTTACTGTCTTGTGTTTTAATATTTATCAACCATATTTCTCATTTTCTCTTCATTTACATTTCCTATTTCACATACCATTTGTAATGATTACATTCAATACTCCTCTTAGAGGACAAGAAATGTATGTCTTCTTTTTTGTCTGTGGTTTTGTTTCTTCTGTATCTGATAGGACAGTTTTAGTTTCTCCATGTGCAATACTATTAGGATCAATGAGACCCTGAAGTAAAACAAGAAAATCTTTTAGGAATTATACTTTTTGTATAATTTTATGAATGTACTAAACCACCAAATTTTAGAATTAAATTTATATTACTACTGTCAACGCGAGGAATCACATAGAGAAAAGAAGATTCACGCTCCATATAAGTAGGTATTTAGGGATGCAACACCAGTGTATTTTGCAAGGTACCTTGATTTAACCTTTTGTAGATTTGAGTCCCCAGCATTTTCAATCATCATTTGTGTACACTAAATAAAGGTGCCATAATTATTTGGGCATAATAATGACAAGTTTCCATCCTCTGTATACATCCCAAAGATTATTCACTGAAATTCTTGTGAAATAAAAATACAAGTTAATTGGAAAGGAGGAGAAATATAATTTTATTTGGATTCATTTCATTTAAAAAATTTATATAAATGAAAGAAAAATGAGAAAAACATAAGTCAAGCCTTCAGAAATTCAGGCATGCTTCCACTAATATTTATAGATAACATATCAGATAGTGCAAGGGTATACCCTAATCTCCTAGGCCTTTTAATGCTAGTCTACTATGAAACTGCTGATTTTGGAAAAAAAAAAAAAAAAAAAAAAAAGAAGGAATCTTTGGTTTGTAAGAATATTGAGAAACTTGTTGCAGTGTAAAAAAAAAAAAGTAAACTGATAACAAAACACCGGAGTAGAGTTAACTCTCCAGTATAAATCTCCAAATTTGCCTTACGGTTTTCATGGGTGGGTGGGTATTAGTGTGTATGTACCAGCAATTTGAGTGAATACTTTGAGTGAGTGAAAGAGGAAACATCACATCATCACAGGAAATAGTAAAAATGCTAGAGTGCATAGACACACTGAGGAAGGAAGTTTACATGTAATGAGTCAGAAGACAAAGATATTAAAGCAGCTAATGGCTGAAAATGAATTATGTAGTTCTTTAAGATCAAAGTTCTTCCAATCTGAACGTGATTAATGTATTGGAGTTCTGGTACAGAGGCTTTTTGTGAAAATTCTGTTACCATATAAAATGGAAAAAGACAATGGTGAATATTAAGGTGAGTGAAAGGTCATATATAGTAAAACCATATTATTTTAAGTTTTTTTATATAGTAAAACCATATTATTTTAAGTTTTATTATTTTAGAATTTTTAAGCCGGGCGCGGTGGCTCAAGCCTGTAATCCCAGCACGTTGGGAGGCTGAGGCGGGTGGATCACGAGGTCAAGCGATCGAGACCATCCTGGTCAACATGGTGAAACCCCGTCTCTACTAAAGATACAAAAAAATTAGCTGGGCATGGTGGCACGTGCCTGTAATCCCAGCTACTCAGGAGGCTGAGGCAGGAGAATTGCTTGAACCCAGGAGGCGGAGGTTGCGGTGAGCCGAGATCGTGCCATTGCACTCCAGCCTGGGTAACAAGAGCGAAACTCTGTCTCAAAAAAAAAAAAAAATTTTTTTTAATAAACTGATATAGGCTAAGATGACTTCTTCATAGATAATTAGACTCAATAGTGAATATTTAAAATATTTTTTAAAAGGACTTTTTGATCCTTACTGTAGAAATCTCTATTTAAAAAAAATTAAATTTACAATTCTCATTATGAGTAATTATTGCTAAGTAAAACTAGATCGACAAAAGTTCTAATCACGTGCTCTATATATCTATAGAAATAAGAAACTTGGGTCTCTTCAAAATACACAGCAAAACATTTTAATTAACCTAGACTTATCTTTACCTGTTAATTTAAGTTACTGAGTTTTCCCTGAATGTGGCAAGAAATAATAAGTGACATTTCTCTTTATTCCCAAAATCTGTGCTCTTTAGCTCTAAAATACTCTATAGTCACTCCTTTTCATTTGTTTCATTATTTCTGCTCATTTCCTAGGATCCATTAAAACTATTTTTAAATTTACCACTTTTCATTTTAAACCATATACATAAAAGAAATCTAGCTAATAAGTAAACTATATAAATAAATTTTAAGATCATATTGATTTTATATCATATTAAGGTGAGTGAAAACTTACAATATATGATTTTTTTACCTGAGGAGTTGTAGATGTTTGGAAGTTTTCATCCTCCAAATGTTCACTTTTTGATTCTCTGGTGTACATGCTAAGATTTAAAAGAATAATACTTTGAAAGAAGAAAGAAGACTATAAATCCACATGAAAACAAACATGGTTAAGTGGGATTAATTTTTTAAAGGATGTTTGTTCTAAAGTCGTATCATAGTCAAATCAGATACTTTATAGTCAAAACAGATCCAAATATTCATCTTTAACATAATTAACCAAAGCCACAAGCAAAAGTTTTAAAAACCATTATCATATAGAAATGTAACATTTCTCAATAGCTCATAATGCTGGCCTATATCTTAGAATCATATATCAGAAAATGCAGAAACTTATTTTATGCATTGAACTGGTACGTTTGAGCTAGTGTTCACTGTTGATTTAATCTAGCTTCGATCATGCTCCTACATAAAAGACTCCAGAAAAATTTTAAATGAAATATGATCAACTACATTAATACTTAACAACTATGTTACTGATACATACTACCTTTTTACATGGTCCGTTTGAAGAATATATATGTAGGTCAAACCTTTAAACATATCTATAAAGTTTTATTTAGAAGAAGAATAAACTAGAGTAAAAGAATAATTACTTCTGATAACTTTATTTTTTTGAACTGATTTATTTTTATTTTTTAGTTTTTGAGTACTTTATTTTTTTATTTTTTTTCCTTTTTTTATTGCATTTTAAGTTTTGGGGTACATGTGAAGAACATGTAAGATTGTTGCATAGGTACACACATGTCAGTCTGATTTGCTGCCATCCTCCCTATCACCTATATCTGGCATTTCTCCCCATGTTATCTCTCCCAACTCCCCACCCCTATTCCTCTCCTATTTCCCCCCTACAGACCCCAGTATGTGATGCTCCTCTCCCTGTGTCCATGTGTTCTCATTGTTCAACACCCACCTATTAGTGAGACCATGCAGTGTTTGATTTTCTGTTCTTGTGTCAGTTTGCTGAGAATGATGGTTACCAGGTTCATCCATGTCCCTACAAAGGACACGAACTCATCATTTTTTATGGCTGCTTAGTATTCCATGGTGTATATGTGCCACATTTTCCCTGTCCAATCTATAATTGATGGGCATCTGGGTTGGTTCCAAGTCTTTGCTATTGTAAACAGTGCTACAATGAACATTCATGTGCATGTGTCCTTATAATAGAACAATTTATAATCCTTTGAATATATACTTAGTAATGGGATTGCTGGGTCAAATGCAAATTTCTATTTCTAGATCCTTGACGAAGCATCACACTGTCTTCCACAATGGTTGAACTAATTTACACTCCCACCAACAGTGTAAAAGTGTTCCTATTTCTCCACATCCTCTCCAGCATCTGCTGTCTCCAGATTTTTAATGATTGCCATTCTAACCGGCATGAGATGTTATGTCAATGTAGTTTTGATTTGCATTTCTCTAATGACCAGTGATGATGAGCATTTTTTCATATGTTTGTTGGCCTCATGTATGTCTTCTTTTGTAAAGTGTCTGTTGATATCCTTCTCCCACTTTTGAATGGGCTTGTTCTTTTCTTTTAAATCTCTTTTAGTTCTTTGTAGATTCTGGATATTAGCCCTTTGTCAGATGGGTAGATTGCAAAAATTTTTCCCATTCTGTTGGTTGCCAATTCACTCAAATGACTGTTTCTTTTGCCGTGCAGAAGCTGTGAAGTTTGATTAGGTCCCATTTGTCCATTTTGCCTTTTGTTGCCAATGCTTTTGGTGTTTTAGTCATGAAATCCTTGCCTATGCCTATGTCCTGAATGGTTTTGCCTAGGTTTTCTTCTCGGGTTTTTATGGTGTTAGGTCTTTTGTTTAAGTCTTTAATCTATCTGGAGTGAATTTTAGCGTAAGGTGTCAGGAAGGGGTCCAGTTTCTCTTTTCTGCACGTGGTTAGCAAGTTTTCAGAACACTATTTATTAAACAGGGAATCTTTGCCCCATTGCTTGCTTTTGTCAGGTTTGTCAAAGATTGGATGATTGTAGATGTGTGGTGTTGCCTCTGAGACATCTGTTCTGTTCCATTGTTCTGTATCTTTGTTTTGGTACCAGTACCATGCTCTTTTGATTACTGTAGCCTTGTAATATAGTTTGAAGTCAGATAGCGTGATGCCTCCAGCTTTGTTCTTTTTGTTTAGGATTGTCTTGGCCATGCAGACTCTCTTTTGGTTCCATATGAAGTTTAAGGTGGTTTTTTCCAGTTCTGTGAAGAAAGTCATTGGTAGCTTGATCGGAATAGCATTGAACCTGCAAATTACGTTGGGCAGTATGGCCATTTTCATGACATTCTTGATTCTTCCTAACCATATGCATGGGATGTTTCTCCACGTGTTTGCGTCCTCTCTTATTTCATTGAGCAGTGGTTTGTAGTTCTCCTTGAAGAAGTCCTTTACATTCTTTGTTAGCTGTATTCCTAGGTATTTTATTCTCTTTGTAGCAATTGTGAATGGCAGTTCATTCTTGATTTCGCTCTCTTGAAGTCTGTCATTGGTGTATAGGCATGTTTGTGATTTTTGCATACTGATTTTAAAGTATCTGTTGTTTCTACCTCCTCTGTAATCTTTGCTAGCTTTGAATGTAAGAAAGCTGACTTTTCTTAAAAAATCTTTTCTCAATTTTTGAGTTGTTAAGAATAAAACTAAAGATTTTAAGTTTTGATTTTTAGATAGACTATATTACCATATCCTGTAGCATTTCATATATCTATACTTTTCTAAAAGGAAAACAATTTTAATAATGAAAATTTTTAATAAAAAGGAAATGAAAATAAACATTAACAGTTTAATAGCTACCATATGCTAGCTGCTTTACAATATTGTCTAATTGTAATGAAGTAAAATATTACTGTGTAACACCCTATAAAGAATCATAACTGAATTTATAACTTTATTAAAGCAAAAAAAACCTTAAAATTTTTGATTAAAAACTTGAATCTAAATTCCATTATAGTGTAATTTCATCTTGATTGAAATGACTGTAAAAATTACTATCCTGTCATTATAATGATGTATTAGTCCAGGTGTCCCCAAACTACGGCCCACGGGCTGCATGAGGCCCCCTGAGGCCATTTATCCAGCCCACCACTGCACTTCAGGAAGGGGCACCTCTTTCATTGGTGGTCAGTGAGAGGAGCACAGTATTTGGTGGCCCTCCAATGGTCTGAGGGACAGTGAACTGGTCCCCTGTGTAAAAAGTTTGGGGACGCCTGTATTAGTCCATTCCCATGCAGCTATGAAGAAATACCTAAGACTGAGTAATTTATAAATGGAAGAGGTTTAATTGGCTCACAGTCCTATGTGGCTAGGGAGGCCTCAGGAAACTTACAATCATGGTAGAAGGCACTTCTTCATAGGGTGGCACTTCTTCATAGGGTGGCAGGAGAGAGAATGAGTGCAAGTAGGGGACATGCCAGACTTATAAAACCATTACATCTTGTGAGACTAACTCACAAGATCCAATTACCTACACCTACATGGTCTCACCCATGACATGTCGGATTATTATAATTCAAAGTGAGATTTGGGTGGGGATGAAGAGACAAATAATATCCTTCCACTCTTGGCCCCTCCCAAATTTCATGTGCTCACATTTCAAAACATAATCATGTTTTTCCAACAGTCTCCCAAAGTCTTAACTCATTACAGCATTAGCTCAAAAGTCCAAGTCCAAAGTCTCATCTGAGACAAGGCAAGTTCCTTCTACCTATGAGCCTGTAAAATCAAAAGCAAGCTAGTAACTTCCTAGATACAATGGGGGTACTGGGAGAAACTGGCTAAAACAAAGGGGCTACAGACCCCATGCAAATCCTAAATCCAATCATTAAACCTTAAAGTTCCAAAATGATCTCCTTTGACTCCATGTCTCACATCCAGGTCATGCTGATGCAAGAGGTGGTTCCCATGGCCTTGTGAAGCTCTGCCTCTGGGGCTTTGCAAGGTTACAGTCCCACTCCCAGGTGCTTTCATCAGGGGGCATTGAGGTTCTACTGCTTTTCCAGGCACATAGTGCAAGCTGTCAATGAATCTACCATTCTGGGGGCCGGAGGATTGTGGTCCTCTTCCCAAAGCTCCACCAGCTAGTGCCCCTGTGGGGACTCTGTGTGGGCTCCAACACCACATTTTCCCTTGCACTGCTTTAGCAGAGGTTCTCCATGAGGGCTCCACCATTGGACCAAACTTCTGCTGGGTATCCAGGCATTTCTATACATCCTATGAAATCTAGGTGGAGGTTTCCAAAGCTCACTTCTTGATGTCTGTGCACTTGTAGGCCCAATATGCCATGTAAGCTGCCAAGGTTGGGGACTTGCACCCTCTGAAGCAATGTCATGAGCTATATCTTGGCCTCCATCAGACATGGCTGGAGCTGAAGCAGCTGGGATGCAGGGCACGATGTCTTGAGGCTGCATAGAACAGGGTGTCCCTGGGCTGGGACTACAAAGCCATTTTTCCCTCCTACAGTCTCCAAGCCTGTGATGGGAGGGGCTGCCACAAAGGTCTCTGACATGCCCTGGAAACATTTTCCCCATCGTCTTGGTGATTAACATTCTACTCTTCATTATTTATGCAAATTTATGCAGCAGGCTTGAATTTCTCCTCCCCAGAAAATGTTTTTTTTTTCCTATTTCATCATCAGTTATGACCATTAGGTCATAATTTTTCTAAGCTTTTATGCTGTGCTTCCTCTTAAATGCTTTGCCACTTAGGAATTTCTTCTGCTAAATATCCTAAATCATCACTCTCAAGTTCAAAGTCCCACAGATCTCTAGGGTAGGGGCAAAATGCCACCAGTAGCTTTGCTAAAGCATAGCAAGAGTGACCTTTACTCCAGTTTCCAACAAGTCTCTCATCTCCATCTCAGACTACCTCAGCCTAGACTTCATTGTCCATATCAACATCAGCAGTTTGGTCAAAGCCATTCAACAAGTCTCTAGGAAGTTCCAAACTTTCCTACATCTTCCTCTCTTCTGAGCTCTCCAAACTGTTCCAACCTCCACTTGTTACCCAGTTCCAAAGTAGCTTCCGCATTTTTGGGTAT